TAAATATATCAATGACCAACCAACTTTATATTTGTGTCATCATGATCACTCAATTTGATCTTGTTTTACCATGGTCACCCAATTTGATTTTATTTCACAATGATCACCTAATTTCATATAATATTTCATCATGGACATCAAATTTCATATAACATTTCATCATGGCCTCTCAATTTCATATACCGTTTTATCATGACAACCCAACTTCTTTTCAAATTTTTTATTAATTTTTTTTTTTAAAAAAAGTAAAACTGTAATTTTGCATTATATATAAAAAATAAATTTTAAAAAATTAAAATAAAAACTTATTTTAAAAAAAGTTACTTGGAAAAACAAAATAAAATAAAAACTTATTGAAAAAATATTTTCAAAATAAAATAAAAACTTATTTTTTAAAAAAAATGTTACTTAGGAAAAAAAAATTAAATGAAAAGTTATTTTTTAAATAAAATGTTCCTTAAAAAAATAAAAACTTAATTAAAAGACCTACTTTGAAAAAAATTTAAAATAAAAATTTCTTTTAAAAAAATGTTCCTTAAAAAAATAAAATAAAATAAAATAAAAACTTATTTTAGAATTTTTTAAAAAAACCTTTTATTTTTTAATTCATTTTTTATATATATTACAAAATTACCGTTTTACCTCATTTAAAATTAGTGAGAATGATGAAAAGAAATTGAATGGTCATGACAAAGTATTATATGAAATTCGGTGGTCATGGTGAAACGTTATATAATATTGGATGGCGATGATAAAATAAAATCAAATTGGGTGGCTATAATCAGGGGCGGAGCTAGGATATTCTTTCAGTGCGGGCATATTTTTATGGACGTCGAACGTCATTGAGTTTTTGGTTATGTATTGAATGATGATAAAAATATAAAATAAAAGTACGACAATACTAAAAATTCACATTTCACAGGGCAATTCGCAAAGTGATTAAAGCAAACATCACATGCAAGCAATTCAGGGCAATACTATAATTCACACTTCACAAAGTAAATTTCGAGAAGCACTTCAAATTGAGAAAGAAACTGCATTTACTAATGTCTTTTATGCAAAATTATTTATGCAGCCCACGTTCTTTTTATTTCAAGTCAAACACTTCAATTTATAAAGCATATGACTTGATCCCCAAAATTGCAGCTTTTAATCTATTTCGTCTTTTTTTCCTTTTCAATTGATTAGAAACGGGTCCAACTAACACAGTAACACTAACAATTTTCTTTCAAAGTCCAGATTTATAATTATAGCCAATAGATTATGGATACACTAACCTTCAAAATTCAAATGCCTTCAAAATTCAAATGTTTGGACTTCGAGAATCGAGGTGGCTGTTGCCTGCTAGCAATGGTTGGCTTCAGGTTCACGGTGGCTGCTCAGGTTCAGGGCTTTGCTCGCTCGAACTCGAAGGCAGAACGGTTGGCTTCTCACTCGTCAATCGTCACTGCAGGTCGCTGGAG